AGCTTGTAACACTCCAAAGAGAAAGGAACATTTGAAATCGCATCATATGACCCCTTTAATCAAAACTTGAACGTGAGTGGTACTCTCGCGTGTGGCGGCGGAGACTGACCGGAAGAGAAGAAATTGTTGAATAAAGTTATTTTTGTTTTCTTTGCACACAAAAAGTAAAATTACGGTTGAACCACTGGTGTCACATGGACTATTTTAACAATGTCTTTGCTACGTTTCTGGGCCTTGAACGTGGTAATTTCGTTGCTGTCTGTGGGAGGGTCACAAAGCTCTCGGATTTCATCAAAAATATCTTAATTTGTGTTCCAAAGATAAACAAAGGTCTTATAGGTTTGGAACAACATGAGTAATTAATGACAGAATTTGCATCTTTGGGTGAACTATCCCTTTAAATAGGTCCTGTTGGCAGCTAGCAACACCAGAAAAAGAAACTGCCTTTGTGATAGCAATAATAAACCATTCAGTTGCAATCAATTCATTTTTTTTTCTCCAGTTTTGGAGACTGTTTTGTCGAGAATCAGAAGCTGTATTGAGCTAGAATGATAATTAAAGCTGGGTTCTCATTCAAATCATGTTTTGCCAGCTAAAAATGCCCTTATGCCTATCTATAATAATCACTTTTTTTTTTTACCTGTAGTCATGATATGATTTGCTTACCCGTAAGCCCCATTGCTGATGATTTTAATAGTCTCAAAATCACTCTCCAGCGGTTTTCTTCGTAGTGGTGTGGGTAAAGAGTTATTCTGCTGTAAGCAACAGGAAGAGACGTATCGTTAGTGACGTCTTACGAAACCTAGCAAGGCTATTTAATGCTTCAGCTCTTTTTGAGGTGCATTTACCTCCGCGGATTCTTCAGAATCAACCGTCAGTGTGGGGCCAGAGTCATACTGCTCCTCGAGCTGCACGACTTCTGTCAAAAGAGATGAAGGACACAACAACATGAGCCCAAGAGAAACTGACAGGCTTTCAAAACAAAACCATCACAAGATAAATAACAGATAATCGCACCATCAAGGGGATCTCTGTTGAGTCCAAGCTGGCTGATTATATAGCGGGGAATATCCGTTTTGATGCCCTGGCCGACTTTGGCGTGACCTTCTGCAGCCTCCAGAAGATGGTAAAACTCCTCAGGGTCAAACTCCTAGGGAAGTGAAAATCAGGAGCACAGTTTTGGGAATGTCAGACCGTTAGGAATAATCACTGTGGATCAGTGTAGTGCAGAATCTCACTAGACACTCCAGCAGTCGTGCGGGTCGTGAGATGATGATGAGGATCTTCTTCACCAGCTGGGTGATTACTGAAACCTCCTCACTCTCGGAGCGCTCCAGAGCCTAAGCGAGACAAACACAATCTATTATAGGGATACTGCATGACTTGTCTTGATCTACTGAAAAAGTGTTGCATCATGTATGTGATATGTATAAAGTTGTTACTATCACATGAACTACCAACGTCAGTTTGCATTGCTTCACTGCTATTCAATAAATTCTTGCCTGTGGCCTCATGGGATAGAAGTAGTAGGTCATCTGCGTACTTTTTGCCTACTGTTTTTCAAATACTATAAATTCAGATATACTACTCTCTTGACGTACTGTTTTTTGCATTCTATGTAGTAAGGAAGTGTTTAATTTTGGACAAAGCGATAGTTAGTGATGCACTGAAATTTCGGTAAACGCAAATATTTGAAATTCAAGTCACTAACCAAAACAGCTAGCACTTATATTTCACAAAAAAGGAAAACAGAGTTATAGTATATAGAATATAAAGTGTAGAGTTCTTTTTTTTTCTAGATTACTAAAAAGATATGGACACTGAATGGCTTTCCTGAGGTAAATGTTAGGTTTTTAGCTAATAGCTAAATTTTTCTTATATTAACATTCATATTTTTAACAACAATAAAGGGGATGAATTTAGAGTTGCAGTTTTAATGGCAGGTGACAAACCAGGGAAAAAGCTTTTATTTCTGCCACCTACTGGACTGGAGTGTGAGGTGCTGGATGACACATGTGGGAAAATAGAGACTGGCATGATTTGACTGTTAAAAAAAGATTAAACATTCCAGATTACAGCTTTAGACTATATGAAATAATGACATAATTTTCATTTTGGGGAGAGCTGTCCCTTTAAGACAAATGACTAGTTATTGAGACTCACCAATTAGTTGATTATGAAAACGTAAAATATTATTCAAACGTTTGGGGTCAGTAAGATTTTTTAATGTGCTTGAAAGACATCTTAACAGTAAAAACAGTGATCCTGTGAAATATTATTACAATTCAAAAGAACGGTTTTCTATTTGAATATATTTTTAAATGTAATTTATTCCTGTGATGCAAAGCTGAATGTTCAGCATCATTACAGTATCACCTGATCCTTCAGAAATCATTTGAATATGCAGATTTGCTGCTCAAGAAACATTTCTTATTATTATCAATGTTGAAAACAGTTGTGCGGTTTCATATTTTTGTGCAAACTGTAATAATTTTTTAGGATTCTTTGATAAATAGAAACTTCAAAAGAACACCATTTATTTGAAATAGAAATCTTTTGTAATATAGTAAAAGTCTTACTTTTATTTTAATGCAACCTTGCTAAATAAAAAGTATAAATTTCTCTTTTTAAAAGGCTATTTAATTAAAAGAGTCAGAGGGTGGAAAATAATTCAGCAGCATACTGTGCTGATCATCAAATAGACAGCAGATGACTGGATCCGTTCTGAACACTGGACAGTATTTGGCGAAGTGACTGGAATGTTATTTCTTGCTTGTGCAGGGGAATCTGCTGGCTTGTGGGATGCGGGAGTGGGAGGTAATGAGCTACTTGTGCTACAGGATCAAATCCTTTCTAGGCGCTCGTGTGAATTTTAATCAACTCTGCGTACTCATAGAATCTGGATTTGAGATGCATTAGATGGCAAAATATAAAGACTGTGCAAAACGTTGAGACGTATTCAAATATTATATCCTAAACACAAGCATCTGCGAAAGAGCGCATAAAAACATTTTTAATCTATCTTGAGCTGCTGTCTCCTCGCGTAAGGAGAGAAGCAGAGTAAACAAAGGATTACGCTCGGTCAGATGACTCCTACGAAAAACTAAAATTACTGCATTTTTATGCATTTGATGAAGCCGAACAAAGTGAGGGAGACATGCTATCAAATCAGCATTAAAGAGCCTCATAGCAAGATAAGATGTGTGACTCATGTTTCGCAGACAGCCAAATGCCACTGCAAGAGGGGTTTGAGGGAAACATGGATGATTCGAACTCGACACGAACAGTCACATCAAAACAATGAACCATTTCCTTTTTTAGCACTGCAGCCAGCGAGTCTCTTTCCATCATAAGCAGACGGCAGCTCAGACTCGACTGTGACTTGTGCCCTTGCAGCACAGAGCTTTATAATGATGCCCAGCTTCAAGCTGTCCTTACTGTTTACATGCGGAAAATTTACAATCTATTTATGATCAAGGATGGGATTCCATTTGCGACATTTGATGACAATTCATGAAACTGATAAATAAAATTAAAAACAGTTCAATAGGATGACAAATTAGTATAATTAATCATTTTGTTAATAACTACAGTGGTGTCAAAGAAGTCTGAAAATATGATTTTAAAAAAAAGTAAAGTTATGATAACATTATAATTTTTGAAATAGTTTATTAAAGGGGTCATATGACGATGCTAAAAAAAAACATTATTTTGTGTATTTGGTGTAATTAAATGTGTTTATGCGGTTTAAGGTTCAAAAAACACATTATTTTCCACATACTGTACATTGTTTCTCCTCTATGCCCCGCCTTTCTGAAACGCGACGATTTTTACAAAGCTCATTGTTCTGAAAAGCGAGGTGTGCTCTGATTGGCCAGCTATTCAGTGCGTTGTGATTGGCCGAATACCTCAAGCGTGTGACGGAAATGTTACGCTCCATACCATACTGTGATGCCGTGTCCCGGCACGACGAGACAAAACCAATAAAACCCATTACAAATTAGGCATTTGTTGCATCGAGTGGAGACACAATTACTGATTATAATGACTTATACTGTCTTTTTACACGTTGCGTTGCATCGCGCCGCGTAAACATAAAACCATGTCTGTATTTGTGATCGGAGAAACGACAAACAACAAGCGCTACTCTACACTGCTCAAAACTCACGTTTGAATCATCAGTGGCAAATCCTTTAAATATGAAAGCGTACTTACAGGCTGTGAGTCAGCATTATTTGTCAGAACACTGGCATTGTAGGCTACTCTCCCACAAAACAGTGCTCGTCCTCCGTAAAATGCACTGCACACATCTGAATATTTTGGTTGAACTGTTCTGGAACAGTGTTGTGAATCTTAACTTTCATAAACAATATCTCTTTGGGTTTGAGACTTTAGTCTTTGCAACTTTAGGGATCTTATCTATTCACAAACAGCTCGTAACACTCCAAAGAGAAAGGAAAATTTGAAATCGCATCATATGACCCCTTTAAAGTTAAAACTGATTCTGCACCATACTGAAAATAAATGCAGTAGTTTCTGGAATACAAAACTCTTTTATCATCTGAAATGAGCTGTGATTTCTAATTCCAAAGTGATTTATATTATAAAACTAATGTCAAGAACACAAATTATTTGAATTTCTGCTGAATAAGAGAGCTACATGAGCCTAAATTTATTTGTACAGTGCCTTTTACACCAGTAGTTTCAGTTTTGCTTTAAATAAATTAGTTTAACCTTGACATTTATAATATAAGTTGTTTACAAGGAATGCCACTGTAATTTGTTTATACTTTCATTTTTCATTTCTGTCTGTTCTTTTAAATTTAAAGGATTCTTGAGTTTATAATTTTTGTAAACATTATAATTACTAGTATTTTATCTGAATGTTATGATAAAATGTGACTTATACACCGACGCAACTTCTGTTTTTTTTCTTTTTCAAATTAGTCAAATGTTAATGGAAAATGCACTTTGTAATAGGGATGCACCGATACTGCCCCGATACCAAACGCCGATACCACACAGCATGTGATAAGTGCCATATTCAGACAAAGAAACACCAACAGCAGAATGGAGTTATTAGGGATTAAAGATGTCTACGAAGTATATGTATGCAATGAACATAAAACATTCAGTATTAATGCCTGTATTGCTGATTTGTGCCAGCTGGTAAGCAAATCACGCTGAGTAAATTGAGCGCGCAGTGGCGCAGATGCGCGAGCTTGTCGAGTGAATATCCCTTTCTCACAGACATCACTGGAAAGTTTGTAGTTCGGTCGGATATGTCAAAAAGTAGTAAGTAAAACAATGCACAAGTTACTTAATGGTAGGGAGTGAAGGGGGGAGAGAGAGAGAGAGCGAGAGAGAGAGAGAGCGCACTTCTGTTGTGTGATGTTTATTGATGTTCGCTCACTTAGCACGCATCATTTGGATTAAAACTAACCAAAAATTATTCAAAATTTAAGTTCAGGTTTGCATGAACCCTGATGACAGCATGCCCAGGAGACTATATGCTGTCATTAAGGCTAAGGGTCACCCGACAAAGTATTGATATTGACAGCTGTATGAATAATTTTTGGTTTATTGTAATCCATTACATACCTTTCTATCCAAGTTATCTGACATTATTAAGTTGAATTTGTTCTGACACAGTTTAACTCTGAGTTCTTGTCATATTTTATTACCATTTTCTAAACTATAGCGAATAAACTATGATAATGTGAGAAATGTTGAAGGTGTCTGAATAAATTTTGGTTTGACTATCTATTTGATGAATTAAGTTAACCAACTAACATTATACATACTCTTTTGGTTTCTGTACCCAATATTTTAAAAATGTACAAATGCAATGAAAATATTGGTATCGGTACTCAGTATCGGCAAGTACAAAAATAAATAAACAAAAGTATCGGTATCGGGCAAGTACTGAAAAAAGTGGTATCGGTGCATCCCTACTTTGTAAATAGTACATTTACATTTAAAATAGTAAATATAAATAAAGAAATAATCTATTTTTTTAAATAAGCAATAATAAGCAAAAATTTGTCAATGATAATGATTAGCTCTGAACACTTTTACTCAATATGTATTAATCTAACAGTATCACACAGCAGAAATTAACATGACAACTGTCAGTCAGTGCATGTGACTTAAGTCGGCATGTTCTGACTGTCTTTTTGTGAATGAATGGCATAGTTTCATCTACTACACAAACTCAAACACAGGTGATGCTCAGTGTTTTCAGTGTCTGTGTCTCAATATATGAGACATGAACACACAAACTTCATCTCCAGAGCTGCTCTGAGAGTCACTTCACCGTTTTATTTGAGAAAAACCATCAAACACACACTGATACTCAAAGATCTTTACTACAAACCATCAAAATAAAAGTTTAGTTTAACTTTAAGCAATTATGACAGAAATATATCACTTTTTTATATAAAAGTTTACTCTTCAAAACAATACTACTACTTTTATTTTTAGGGAGTATCATACAATCATTCATGTTTTAATTTACATGGTTCTGTTGCGAAGCATCTTATTTGACAAAAAACAGAAATTGCAATGTTTTGTTGTAAATTAATTTTTGATTACATTATAAAATATTATTTAAATAGATTGTTTTATTAATAGATTTCATTAGATACAATTTTTGATAATACATTCTATTAAATCCTTAAACACAGAAACCAGAAAAAATTTAATGGAAAACGAAGAATTTAGAAAAATAAAATTGATTTCATGGGGCTCTAAATTAAAAAGGTAGGAGTTTAATAGTGAAAAGTTTACATTCATTCTCAAGGTCTAACAAACATGTGGAAAGCATTCCCTTCCCCATTAATGGTAAATAAAAATTGCAATATTGTATGATATGCTAAAAACACTGTAATAATATTTTTGGCCATATCACCCAGCCCTATGTGTAACATTTAAATCCGTTATACCAGCCATTGTTCAACCTGCTCTTTATAAATCAGCAACATGCAAGTCCACCAATAGTTTTAAGCATAACGCCAGAGAAAATAAAGCAGCAAAGACTATGCAATCCCAGAAGGGAGCAGAGAGTGACAGAGGAACAACACAGAGCGGACTGATGTAACCACAAACCAACACAAAACCACAGGATTTGACCATCAATCACAACAGGCTGATGATTGAACAGTTAGAGCAGTTAAACTGCAGCATGACTGCAGCATCAGGGCCCTGCGCTTGGCACCGCTGACTAAGGGAAATGGGAAACACTTTAATAGCCTTATCTATGAGCACGACATCCACCGCACAGCAGCGATCTGACAGCGTGCTGAGTCTTGCCTGGGGTTGTCTGAACACTACATACAGGGTGGGCGTAAGGGTTGCTATGGAAACTAACACCCTGTAGCTGCAAAGATGAGCATGAAGCTTGAACGGTGAGATCTATATATCTAACCAAACCCTCTGCTGCAGGGTACACACACATTTATACACGAAACGACACGTGCAATTACACACACACGCAAACACTCACATGTATGCAAATGTACATGCACGCAGCTCGAGGTTGCTCTTTTTTTGCTTGGTGTAAAAAAATCTGAATGTATTTATAGAGTAAAAAAACCTTGGGGGAAGAGGTGGATTTCACACATATTAGGGGAAATGGTCACAGTTTCTTTTGAGAATACGTGACGTTTCTGGCCCCTTAAAGCACTAACATTAACAACAGCAGTGAAAGAACCCAGCCGTGCCCTGATGTCACTGTCAGCCTGATATTCCCGCCAAACCACAACCACCATCTCAGACCACCTGTTGGCTTTGGCATAATCAGAAAAGGACAGCATTACCAAGCTGACATTGGCTAAAGCAGCAGAAAATGGTTGTTCATGCATACGACAAGGACTCAACCAAAGTCAAGCTAGATTTAAACTTATGGTGCACACACATAAAAAAAAAAGTTTTTGCGCAGTTGTAAATGAAACAAAGATTGGAGTCTGGAGTATGTTTTACTAGAGTCTTTCTACATCGAAATTGTTTCATGTTTCATTCAATGTGTTACTTGCCATTTCTTTGATTATTTGTGACATTTACCAGCAATTTCTGGGTTAAAAGTTTTTCCAAAGTAAAGGTCATTGCACACGGAGTCCGAAATTTTTGCACGCTAAAAAATAAATACGACGTCACGTTATGTAAAAAATTTTTTCCGTCAAAAAAATTCGGATCGGGTTTGATTTTCTGCATTTTTCGCATCCGTAGCAAGCATTTTGAGAGGTGTTTTGATAATTCAGAGCCACCATACAAGCGAACGCCAAAATCCAGAATGGCGTCTGACAAGTTGATCCACTTTGTCTCACAGCACAAATCACTGTCCTTGCACACGGAGTTCACAGAAATTGGTGGTCTTCTTTTTAATATGTGGCTCCAGTATCGCAAGCAAAGCATCAAACTGAGCCACTGACATCCTGAAGTAAACTTTGAATCGCCCGTGATAATCCCACAGCTCCTTAACAAGGAGGTGGAACTCCTTCCTCTCTATATCTCAGGATTGGATGGACCCAATACTCCTCTTTCTTTTTCTCTTTTTAAGAAGAAAGAAGACAACAAAATCATCCTCACTGCTAGAAGACTCCATTTTTTATCGTATTATAAATTTTTCGCAACGGATTAATTAATATGCATCAGACTCAGTGTACAAGGTTTCGGTGTTTGACAAATTTTTTAGGATGATGAATACGAAAAAAAACGCATACGAAAATTTCGGTGTGCAAGGACTTTAAAACCTAAACCAAGTTTTTTTCAGTGCATAAATATTGCATTCTTTAACTGACTGACTAGGGCTGAACGATAATGGTTAAACAGAGATAATCCCAATTATTTTGCTCAAGTATAACCATGTATCTGGTTCAGATCATCAGCGCTTTTACCACAATGTAGCGCATACGCATGGTTGCCAGGTTGGGAATACACGAAAGTACATTTGTAGTGCATTCTTATATTTTGTGCTAAATAAAATTGTAAAAAGTTTTACGCTATAAATACACTGATTATAAGTATATTTCTACTTAAGTGCAATTGCAAAAGCATACTAAATACCACTGATATTTAAATAGATTTTTAGCACATTGAAAAAGCATACTACCGCAAAAATATACAGAGGACTTTTAACAGTGTATTTCTTACATCATCCACCCAGAATGGCTTGCACGTATGACAGTTAGCGGAAGTGAGAGAAAAGTGTTTATAACGTTTTAAATATGGATTTTTATTTTCTTACAAAAACGCATAGATTTGCTACAGGAGGTCTTTATTCACAAAATACACATAATACAAAACTAATATGAAATCCATTTGTTAGTAAATATGACTGTCAATCCTAAATACTGATCAGGTAAATGTAGCTACTGTGTCACTGTAATATTTTTTTGTTTTTAGTTTTTATGTACAGTGGGTACGGAAAGTATTCAGACCCCCTTCCAAAGGGTCTGAATACTTAGGACCATGTGATATTTCAGTTTTTCTTTTTTTAATAAATCTGCAAAAATGTCAACGATTCTGTGTTTTTCTGTCAATATGGGGTGCTGTGTGTACATTAATGAGGAAAAAAAATTAACTTAAATGATTTTAGCAAATGGCTGCAATATAACAAAGAGTGAAAAATTGAAGGGGGTCTGAATACTTTCCGTACCCACTGTACATGGGTCGCCCGTATGCAGCTGCAACATATGAGAGCTTGTGCACTTCCTACCAGGCCACTTCTCCAACATCAACAAAGTCTCATACCCAAACAATTGCCTGGATTCACTGAACTGGAAAGATCTTTTAAAAAAATTCCCGCCTCACCTCATGCAGCATTTTTTCCAGTTTATCCTGCAGCTCTATGAAGTACAGAGATGTGATCAGGCCCTTCTGGGATTTATCCAGACAGTCCCTGGCCAACTCCACCAACTGGTGCTGGATAAATCCCAAGACGCCATCTCCCAGTGGTAGGGTGCTGTCTGGGGAAAACTGCCTGATGACTTCCAGCAAATGCTCCTCCATCTGAGCGGTGGCCTGCACAGCAGAGAGAACATTAGGCATCTCAGATTTGTGGAGTAAAAACCTGGAAATAATCTGTTGGTGATACATACCTTTGGAAAGCGCTCCTTATAGACATGATTCATCATTATAATTTCATTATCAAAGGAGCTGCCAGTTCGTCCAGGGCTAAAACAAGGAGAACAACAGATGATAACTAATGATCCACTGGGCCGAACCCGAAAATAAATGTTTAATAATCAACAATCAAATAAAAACTGAGTTGTACAAAAATTTTAAGTGCACATAAGGCAGTTTTTGTCAAATTTTTAATAACAGAATTATGATTCTACTCCAATTTTTTGTTGAAATATGAACATTTAGTCTAAACCATGGCTGTAAACTTTTTCATGACAATTCAAGCATACATTAAAAAAAGACAACAGGTTAAGTAAAAATATAATGAATCTGTAATATAATGCAACATACATTCTGATGTTCATGTTTTTTTCTTCCTATAACTAGTAGTAAATAGGAAGATATGAATGGTTGCTGCTTGAACAGCAGAGACACTACAGCGATCTGTCACACCACATTAAAGAGTGCCAAAACTCCATTTATTGTTTGTATTTTGTGATAAATATTTTGTGGTATTTCATATTAAAATATTTAATATTTCATAATAAATGCAAAGCACAAATCTTATTGTGATTATTGGATAACAGACGCTACAAAAAGGCCTGTCACGATAACAACTTTTTGTTGTGCGATATATTGCCCCAGAAATAATTGCGATAAGCGATATTATTGTCATTTTAAAGACCATTTTATGCCACTGAATATATAATCATAATGTAACAGCATAATAATGCAAGAAAGCCTACACACTTCCAAAGGACAACAAACTTTTAATTTTTAAGAATATTTAGATCATGGAAATTAAGTATCAAATTATTAGATCCCTTAAAAAAACTGAATAAATACTAAATAAACATCTTCTAACAAAAAGTGCAAAGTAACAAGTAGAAAAAAAAAAAATGCACAAAGAATTTGTCTGGAGAATTTTCCATCTACAGATTTTTCCCGGACCTTCTTTTCTCTGTAAATTAAGGGTGCACACTATTGCTGAAAAGTATGCACAAAGGCACAGATCCCTAAACAAGGCCATATCTGCAGATTAAACTTTGTTTGTAGAAGCATTTTTTAAACTTAAAATAGCACCTCATGACTACACCGCGTTATGTACGAGAAGCTGCAAAAGACACAGGCGCAAGTGGAATGCAAAAAAACATGGTGACATACATTTTTAAGTATTTTTAATATAATGGCCGATATATTGCATCACCAAAAATTATTGAGGTCATGTACATATATTGCGCGATAGGTCGATATATTGATTATTGCGACAGGCCTAATTTTTAAAGTAAAATAAAATGCTACATTAAGCTGTTGCTGCTCATGAAGCTAGTGCCATAAGAAAAAAATAAGCAGTATTACCAAATATGGTACCAGTGCATGACAGAGCTTGCATACCAATTTAGCCATGTCTAGTTCTGCATTTTCTGGTAATAGTGATGTATTGAAATTAGTTTTTATAGAAACGCTGAAACCGAAATGTAAGTTTTCATTTAGACCAAAACCAAAAAGATTTCAAAATCATAAAAAAATTGTAATTTTGTGAGTAAATTTTTTCCCACCCCGACTAATTAATGAAAAAAGAACCCAATAGGTGGAATAAAAAAAAAAATCAATTCAATAATGAATTTTTACTCAGATTATCACTATATACTGAATGGTAGACAAATGCATTGTGGATTTGTCCTCTTCCATGTCTCTCACCTCCCCATGGGCTGTAGAATGCTGTAGATTGTATGAACAAGTGGTTTGCCAGGTTGGCTGGGGGTTAATCCACACGGCTGGAGACCAGAAGGGCTCGGGCAGCAGCAGTTGTCGTAGCATGTGTATCAAAGTGATAAGCTCACTCCACCCAGTAGGTTATTATCCTCCTCTGCCCGTGTCTGATTAGAGTGATTGAGCAAAAGGGATCTGTACTGTAAAAAAGGATTAATGTTTGCAAACAGAGGGGTCACGCTGTATTGCTGCACCCCACGGACATATTTTACATTTAAATAGACATTTTTTGTAATGAGCACTAGTGGTCAACACATAGAGTTTCGCAAAATCTAACATTGATACTGATATCTATTATTATATTATTATTAAATTTATATATAATATTGTAATGTAATCTATCTATGTATCAAAAAATATATTGGTCTTTATAAAATGCTATTTAAAATATGACGTATTTTAATGTAATTTGATCTAATAAAACGTTATTTTAATTATTAACAAACCTATTATGTGAGAATATGTGTCATTATTAATCGTAAGCTATCTTCATTTTGTTTTTCTTCAGCCATTCAGAGGTGGACTTGCTGGTGTGTTTTGGATCATCAGGATTTTTTGGTAAACAGCAGAGTTCATGGTTCCATTTATCACAGCAAGTCTTCCAGGTCCTGAAGCAGCAAAACAGCCCCAGACCATCACACTACCACCACCATATTTTACTGTTGGTATGGTGTTACTTTTACGCCAGACGTAATGGGACTCACACAAAAAGTTCAACTTTTGTCTCGTCAGTCTACAGAGTATGTTCCCAAAAGTCTTGGGGATCATCAAGATGTTTTCTGGCAAAACTGAGACGAGCCTTTATGTTCTTTTTGCTCAGCAGCGGTTTTCGTCTTGGAACTCTGCCATGCAGACCATTTTTGCCCAGTCTCTTTCTTATGGTGGAGTCATGAACACTGACCTTAACTGAGGCAAGTGAGGCCTGCAGTTCTTTGGATGTTGTTGTGGGGTCTTTTGTGACCTCTTGGATGAGTCGTCGCTGTGCTCTTGGGGTAATTTTGGTCAGCCGGCCACTCCTGGGAAGGTTCTCCACTGTTCCATGTTTTTGCCATTTGTGAATAATGGCTCTCACTGTGGTTGCTGGAGTCCCAAAGCTTTAGAAATGGCTTTATAACCTTTTCCAGACTGATAGATCTCAATTACTTTCTTTCTCATTTGTTTCTGAATTTCTTTGGATCTCGGCATGATGTCTAGCTTTTGAGGATCATTTGGTCTACTTCACTTTGTCAGGCAGGTCCTATTTAAGAGATTTCTTGATTGCGAACAGGTGTGGCAGTAATCAGGCCTGGGTGTGGCTAGAGAAATTGAACTCAGGTGTGATACACCACAGTTTTAACAGGGGGGCAAACACTTCTTCACACAGGGCCATGTAGTTTTTGATTTTGTTTTCCCTTAATAAAAACCTTCATTTAAAAACTGCATGTTGTGTTTACTTGTGTTATCTTTGACTAATATTTAAATTTGTTTGATGATCTGAAACATTAAAGTGTGACAAACATGCAAAAAAATAAGAAATCAGGAAGGGGGCCAACACTTTTTCACACCACTGTATATTGCGCGATAAGTCGATATATTGATTATTGCAACAGGCCTAGCTACAAATAAAGTTTAGTGATGTTCACGCATCAACAGAAAATAGCATAGACTAAAAGATGGCTCTTGAGATTTAAGAATCCATATCAGTATCGATTAAAAACAAGAAATCGGTATTGTTAATTCAGGACTAGCATTTGCACAGCTGACATGTTTAGTTTATCCACGTTGTGTCACGAAATAGACACTGGCACGATCAAAATATGCCATCAGAGGAATGCGAATTAAACGTCTCTGTCCCTTTTAATGATTTTGGCACTTCAAAACTATTTCGGCTCAAAACCAAAAATGGCTGTTTTGGAAGAAAATATGCCATTGCATCACTAATGAAAACTGCCATTATGTAGATTGCTGGTTAAATACTTTACTGACAAATATACTCATTACACTCTCATTTCAAAAACCAAGTGAGCGGTGTTTTGTTTGTGCAAGCACCCTGTTTGAAGCATGAAGCATTGTGGGTGGACATCAAAACCTCTGAATCCTGCAGAGATGTGGGCTAAAGGTGATGCGTTGCACTGCAGTTTCGCTCAGAATAGGTGTCATAAACACAAAAAACCCTCATCAGATTTTAGTTTCTACTTCAGACTCTTCCTCCTGCATATTAACTGGCCAGATGCAAATTTCAAACCCCAGTGTTCAATTATACCATAGTGAAAGCTGTCTCTTCTCTGACACAGCCTCCAGGGAGGTTCTTTTGCGAAACAAAAACGCTCCTTTTGTTTCGTTTTGATGGGGAAAGCCTGGATATTCCTATTAGTCAGGAGTCCACTCATCTGACAACAAGTCTGGCAACAAACAGCACTGAAAGAGATTGTTCACCCAAAAATGAAAAATCTGTCATGATTTACTCATCCTCAGGCTGTCTTTATTCTGCTGAACACAAACCAAGCAGTTTCTGAATACCATTGACTTCCATAGTATTTTTTTCCCCAAAATATAGAATATGGAAGTCTATGGGGATCAACAACTGTTTGGTTACCAGCATTCTTTAAAATATCTTCTTTTGTGTTCATCAGAAGAAAGAAACTCATACAGGTTTGTAACAACTTGAGGGTGAGTAAATGATAGAATTTTAATTTTTGGGTGAACTTTCCGTTTAAAAAAATATGTATTCCAAGTTTTCAGAAGTCACACAAAAGACATCAAACAAAGACATCCTATGTTGCAATTAATGGGTGCATGTGTGTTTTTGTTTACCTAAGGCTACGTGACCGGGGTCGTATAAACGGGGAGGGCCGCCCATCTTCATCAGTCATGCTCTCCGAACTTCGGAAGTGTTTGAACAGAAAATGAAGCTCGTCCTGTGTGGGTTGGTATGGAAGCTGGTGCAGTCGTTCTTGAGATGAGGAAGATGACTGCAAAGCAACCAACAAACACATAAATCCATCAAAAATACATGGCCACAACGAACATAAAACAGTCCCATTTTTACAAAAAAACATCCTTAAACCTATCAGTAATTGTCTAGGTATGCAGAAATATGAGAATGTTTCACAGAGCTGATTCATACAGGAACATTTCCACCTCCTTTGCTCTTTTACTATTAAAAGGATTTAATGGAGAATTCTGTCATTTTTTATGCATCCTCTTGTTATTTCAAACCAAATGCTCTTCATTTTATTTTCATGGAACATACAAGATTTCATTGTAGATAAATGAGAGACACATACTGAGACGGTTGAGCTGGGAGGGTTGGTCCCATAGCCTGAGGATGGAAGTGAAGCCAGAGACCACCGTCTCCCTTCCACTCTGCCGAGAGAAAAGAAAGAGCAATTCAGGAGAGAGAATGATATTCCATCACTTAAACCTTTGTCAGCCCACAACAACTATTATTTATATAATTATATCTATATATCTATCTATATATATCAACCTATATATATATATCTATATCTCTATATACAGGTGCATCTCAATAAATTAGAATGTCGTGGAAACACAGTTTTAACAGGGGGGCAAACACTTCTTCACACAGGGCCATGTAGTTTTGGATTTTGTTTTCCCTTAATAATAAAAACCTTCATTTAAAAACTGCATGTTGTGTTTATTTGTGTTATCTTTGACTAATATTTAAATTAGTTTGATCTGAAACATTAAAGTGTGACAAACATGCAAAAAAATAAGAAATCAGGAAGGGGGCCAACACTTTTTCACGCCACTGTATATATATCTATATAGATCTATATATAGATGTCTATATATAGATCTCTATATATATATATATATATATATCTATATAGATCTCTCTCTATAGATCTCTCTCATATATATATATATTTTTTTTTTCCCCCTGCTAATATAATCCCATACTAACATCACTCACAATATGCATGTGGACCACCGCTAGTACAAAGTCACCTTTAGAGTTCTTTAATTAACAGCTTCTGACATGCACTTTCAAATAAAAAGAAAGCTAAATTTGCATTCAGAGGTTGGCAGAAATGGTATCCCGCACACAATTATTTATTTCAATAGCAGCATTAAAGCCTATATTTTTGGCAAAAAATTGTGAATCGTTTTTAAAAATGGTGACGCAAAGCATCAAGGCAAAAAAGAAATAAAGAAATAATTAAATAAAATAACAGGAAGTTTATAAAGAGTACACAGAGTCCCAAAAATAGATAAGGTGATTGAGGTTCGGCCCCGTCATTGTGTGAAAAAGAGATTGTCTACCTGTCAGCTCGAGCCAGGTGGCTGAGAAGAAATAAAGAGGGATGAAGAGAGAGAAAATAGGCGACACGCTTAGTGAGCTCTATATAGAAAGATTCATAAGAATAAATGAGTCAACGGTGCATAATGTGAACCTGACACTTAATTAATTAACATTGTGGCAAATGCTGAGGAATATTAAGAATGCTGGTCTGTCATCTATCTAATGAACAAGAAAAATATGATAAAAAGCATTTGTCTACCTGCGGGCGAAGGGGAAGTTGAGAGAGCAAATAGCAGTGGACACATTTCGTGGGCTGTCCAGAGGGCTGCTGGCAGCTGGAAGGGGAACAAGAGGAAATTTCAACAGAGCATACAGTGTTACGCAAGCTAGAGGATTTAATAGATGTCAGATGACCTCAGATGTTTCACAAATCACACACTTTAGGACATTTATCTCCTTTCTGAACAATAATATGTGTCTGATTCACTGTCTATGGAGTTTAAAGCTGACATGTGTAATTTTTTTTCAATGTTTTGAAATATAATCTCCGAGCTTAATAAGCAGAGACGACTATAAGTAAGCCATTCATAGGCTGACTTCCCCAAAAAAGTTGGTGCAACCAACTTTGTTTGAGCAGCCTAACATGGCAACACGGGCTCCACCGGGCTATGTGTTTGTCTGTTCCAGGGAAACCCGTTTGAAAACTACGGAAATTTTAAAGGCGTCATATGGTGCGATTTCAATTTTTCCTTTCTCTTTGGAGTGTTACAAGCTCTTGGTGCATAAAGAAGATCTGTAAAGTTGCAAAGACTAAAGTCTCAAATCCAAAGAGATATTCTTTATAAAAGTTAAGAGTCAACCACACCTACCTAAAATGGCTCGTTCTAACACGCCCCCACATGTCTACGTCACGATGTGGGAAGATTTGCATAACGCCGCCCAAATGTTCACGCAAAGAAAGAAGGTGTAACACTTTCTCACTATAGTTTTGTTGTTGCTGCCGCCGTCATGTCGTGAAGGCGCTGTGTTTCGTTGTGAAAGCGAAACTACTTTGTTTGGCCTTCCAAAAGAGGACACGACTAGAAATCAGTGGTTAAGTTAAGTTCAATTTACAACACTGTTCCAGAACAGTTTAACCCAAACATTCA